CCCTGCATTAGTTAGCCAATAAAGAGAAAATAAAAGCGACAGCAAATGTGGCAATAAATCAGATTTTCATCTAATCCTGTACAGCAATGCGAATCAGAAGAAAAAAAAAAAGTAATATTACAACGAGTACAATACTTTTTTTGTTTTTAATTCCTATTCTTTATCCACTAATCTCTAAGTTTATTTAGTTTTTTTTTTGTTCACTATTTTTTTCAATAAACTTTTCATATATCATTTGCACGTCGTCCAATGACTTTTCAATCAGTCGATCAAAGTTAGCATTACTTAAAATTTTTTTTCCTTTCTCTCGCATTTAATTATGTATATGTTTATTAATTCTGTTTTAATCACTGTCATCACCACCATCGACGCTATTGTCCAAAAGCATTGACAAAAAATGCTAAACAGTTTTCAAAGGTAGTCCTTTTGTTCGCTTTCAGCTTTTAATATTCCTTGAATGTTATGCCGCAAAGATGATTATTCGCATGTTGTCAGATTTGCTAAACTTTTTTTGACCACACTTCTTTCACCTCTGTTTTTTCGTTAAACTTATTAATTGGCTTTAAAGCGCTTAAAAAATAAGCAAAAAAAAACCAACATTAGTAATTTTTACTTACATATACTGGCACGTACTGGCTCTCCAAAGTAAATCCAGGCCGTAATGGTATTAAATCAAATCCTGGTTCACCGGGATCAATTTCAAGCTTTGCTTCAGCCCGTCGACCTGCACCAGTTTCCAGAATTTCAGCAAAGATTAGAAATGGTTTCTCTTCGTCTGTGATACATTTTGTCAGGTTGACTTCTCTTGACCATTGACCATTTTCCACCTAAAAATACAAGTCTTTCTCTTTCTTCAAGATGAGAAGCACCAGAACTGTTAGAGTAGAGCAAAACTAGATGGAAATGACTTGAGATCGTTTTATATTAAAATTTTTACCATTGAGACATCATTTTTTTTACACAAGCAAAAAAAAATTGAGCTGAAAAGCCGTTTGATTATCTCATTAACCGCTATATTATACTCCTCGTCATAAACACTGAAGAATTTTTGATAAACAGTAATTAAACAACAGTTATGACTGATTTTAAAAGCAACAGCTGTTTACTGATTGCAGCACTACAGTACCCAGTTGTGATACCTTTTATTGAGAAAGTTATTGATTACCGTATTTTATGATATCGCTATGGTCTTAAAGCGATTATTTGATGGAATTAACAGTGGTATTATATAGCAACTAAAAGCCACCAGTTTTCCGTCACTGTATATTTGGTATAGGTCGGCTTGTGTATGTCAGTGTTGATTTCAAAAGGACAATGAAGCTTAGCAACTGGGAGAAAAGCAGTTTTGGTTAAGCTGAATAGAAACATAACAAATTAACGTAAACTTAACAGCTACAATTGTTAACACTTTTTTTTTTGTAACGTTTTTGGCTAAAAAAAAGTTTAGGGGAAACAAAAACTTGGAAACATTGATTCACTTTTACAGGTATTCAACTATTTTTTTAAGGGAACAGAAAAATCGTCATAGTTTCTTTTGTATTATATCTGTTTGCTTTGTATGCCAATAGTGCAGCAGTAGTTCCGCTAAGTCCTCTATGATCAGCTAAGGCATTAGACCCCGAAAATGAATTCATTGATTTTGCAAACAAGTTTTGCATAAAACAGTTTATAAATTTGCGCAGCTGCAGAATTTGGTTAAAATTTAAACAGTAAAAACTCTAAAGTTTATAATCTGATCAAAAAAAAAAAATTTTTTTTTTTTTGAAGAAAGTACTTTTTGATATGACGAACAAATGCGTATATATGCAGTTAATGACGGATAAAAAATTTATATCAAATAAATTCAGAATGAAACACGCAAATTGAAAATGAAGAAGACTGAAAAAAAAAAGTCCTATCGCAAAAAAAAAAATCTGCTACTTAATAAATCATAAAAAAATTTTAAGATTTTCTTACTCTTTTTTTGTTTTCCATTGACTTCAGTATATAATTTTTTCAGTTTCAAACAATAAGAAATTTCTTTAGAAAAAACAGTTCTTTTTTTTTTTGTTTTTATAATTTTACAAAAAAGGAAAAAAAAAAGTTTCCTGTTAAAAAAAAACAGTAATGTATGCAGAAATGTCTATTTTTAATGCTTTTTTGTCTCTTCTAGTATAAAGAATTACCAAAAGTTTTCAGTTTCAATAGAGTGACGTATTACCATAGGACAATGCAACTGTTAAACGTATCGACTCCATACTGAAAACTGACAGACTAAAACAGCCGTACAATTAACTGATTTAAGCGATTGTTTATTCAGTTTTTTCTTGACTTTTTTTGCATGTATTTTTTAAACGTCCAAATAGCGGTGCTGTTTTAGACCAATTGTTTTTGACGTTTTTGCTTATACATTCATTTCTGGATGTGTGAATGAGTCGGAAACTGAAAACGAAGAAAAAGGTGAGAAGAAGAGGTTAGCAATGAAATGGATAGGAGAAGAAAAGAAAAAGAACTTTTTTTGTCATTTTTTACCTGACCAAAAAAAGAATTTAATAATTTTAAGTAGTGACTTCTTTTGACAAAATAAAAAAAAAAAGTTATACGTTAACACGTTTGAGCTATGGACTATAGTTGAAAAGGAGGAAACACTTGACTGATTAACTGAAACGTCAATGATCAGTTATTAGCGTATCATAATTGTTAGCTGTTGTGCATTGAATCTGACAGAGATCCTTTATTATATTTATATATAAATATATGTGTTCAATAGCACAAAATTATTTATAATCGAAATTTCTGCTTGTTAATTTCATAGCCGTTATTCAACTTTTTTTTAAGCAACGGCCTCTGCTTTTCTCTGCTAATTATATTATAAACATATGTACGTAAATAGCAGTAACAGCGATTGTGAATGATATGCAATATAATTTGATCAAATTTGATTTGCAACACTGCTGCTCAACGAGGTATATTTTTGGTGCAACCTGTGGGGTAAATTTATTTTTGCAATACTGATCGACGATCATCTTTTGCCATTGTATTGCCGACAACATCACTGTTATCAGATGTTTTAATATGAATAGAAAGCAGAAGGAAAGTTTGAATAGAATCAACAATTTACAAAATATTTTATCTATTTTTCCTGCTAGCAATCTGTCATCGTCAAAATGCTGAACTGTGGTAACCAGCAATATTTCTTTTTTAAACTTATAAAAAAAGTTTTTTTTTTTTTTTTTTTTTT